CCTAGTTCCCCAGTTTGAATACAAATCTCATGATTGGTTCAAAAAGAAAAATCTTTTAAAGAAACAAATTCTATTTCAAATTCTAAATTGTTCAAACCTTCTAATTTGTCATTGAACTTTACAACCAAACCATAATCACAATAATCAAAATTATCAATATATATGTATTGTATTATTAATTAATATATTATGTGAACCCACCAGTTCTTTACATAATTTAATCAACCAAAGATGACAATTATTAATATCATGTTTTGTAGTATTTATACATTTCTATATATATATTTCAAATATATGCAAAAAGAAGTGTGTTGTTGTTGTTTCACATGTCAAAACAAGTTCAAATACCTTTAAACAAAAAGTTTTTCATTGAGACATTTCATCATACACAGTCCATTTTTCAAATCACAAAGCATTTCATTGAGGCATTTTATCATACACATGCAATGCAAAATGTAAGTCTAGAGAGAATCACACATGCTTTCAATTCTCACACATACTTTCAATTAATCATTTCAACGAGTTTATTTTTCAAAATCACAAAGCATTTCAACAAGTCTATTTTCATAATCACATAATTTTTCATCATGAGGATTAAAATGGAGAGGATTTATAAATAATAATAATAATTGTCACGACCCCCAAACCGCCCCTAATAGTTTGGTGCCGTGATGGCCAGTAATCCGTAATTACCGAAGGCCAAATTTCAAGAGCTTAACACAATCAGAGTATAATGAACGGGGCTCACAAGTGCGGAAGCAATAAACCAAAATGCAAGTGGTCCATAAGAGCAGTGCATAGATCAAATGGTATGGCATACATCTTTACAACTTGAATACAAATAAGTAAAATACGTATTACATCTTGATCAAAAGGCTTCTCGAGCCATTATATACAAAATACAGTGAATACAAGCCAAGAAGCATGATTTTCAAGATTCGCCGACGTAAAAGAAATAACATTGCCGACGTGAATACAAAACAAAGCCGACATAATCATGGGTCCAAAACAAGCTTTCAAAAACAAATTCTAGGCGTCGCCGACGTCCTGCTCATCACCTACATATATATAGAGAGGGTGAGCTTGGATACTCAGTGAATGGTACAAATAATAAAGGTTTTGCATGAATATAGCCGAAGTCTTTCAGAACAAAACGTGCTAAAACCATACGAATATTAGCCGAGATTCTTCCAGAGCAAATCGCATCAAAACTTGAACAAAACAAGGGATGAACCGTATTCATCTATCAAGTCTTACAAGTCTCCAGGGATGCTTACTGACATCGGCAAAACACATCAAAACTTTAACAAAACAAGGGATGAACCGTATTCATCTATCAAGTCTTACAAGTCTCTAGGGATGCTTACTGACATCGGCAAAACACAAATCAAGCTTTCCGAATAAAGAAGTCCACGCGGTAAACCGTCAGTGGTAAAACAAGGACTGCACGATCCGTAATCGATTAGTCAAAGGTACTGCGAAAGTTTATAGTCCTCCAGCACAAGGGACTTGTGTTACTTAAGCCCGTAGCCCTTTTTAACACGGTGGTCTTGTGTTACTTAGGCCTGTAGCCCGCTTTAACACAAGAGTCTTTCCAAGAAAGGACCGTATCCTTTTATGCTTGGTGCTGCGAAAGTTTAGAGTCCTCCAGCACAAGGGACTTGTATACTTGGTACTGCGAAATTTTATAGTCCTCCAGTACAAGGGACTTTTCAAGAATGACATCAAAACAAAGCTTATCTTGATACATCAAACAGGCCATTCATTCATGCTTAACAAATACTTTTATCAAAACAAAGCAAAGCAAGATTTAACAAAACAGTGTAACATAGCTTTATTAAAAATACCACTCACCTAATTCTTCAGGTGTAGGCTCAAAGCAAAGATCAAGGACCTACAATCACATGGCAAATCACATTTCTCAAAACAAGCTTTATATGTATGCAAATGATTTCGGCATTCTCACCAGGTCCAAGTCAAAAGCAAAGCAAAACGTGCTGGGAGTTTAAACATTGCTCCCGTCTCATGCAAACACACATTGGGTACCAACCAGGGCTTTGCCGAGGTTCCACACCTCTTTGCCGAGGTGTGGTCCCGATGGCCTCATTCAAAAGCAAAGTCGGGAAAACCTGGGTTTCCCTTTGAAGAACATGAAGAACAAGATCATGAGGAAGATGAATGCAAGGATCATAACTTGTTACAAAAACCAGAGATTTCATGCCATGAGTTCAAAACATGAACCTGGGTACCCTTACAAGAAGATCATGCAAGAACAAACACAAAAACATGGTTCTAGTTTCAAACTTTCGGATCAAAACGAGACTTTTCTTCAAGAACACATGAATACTATTTTTCTCTTCCAAAACCAACTTCAAATCGATGCATGATATGCAAAACAGATCCGATCATGCAATGCAGCTAGATGATCAATAACAATAACCAAAGTAGATCAAGATTCTAACCTCAAAACTCGAATCCAACGGTTCAAACCTCGAAGATCAAGCTTGGAAGATCTATTCTCACTCAAGAACTTCTCCTCCTTTCTCTCTAGATCTTCTCTCTCCAAAGGAAAAGATTTGAGACAAAATGATTTGCTTCTAGGTCAGACGACTGTCTTAACAATTAGCTCGGACACGTGGCGCTATCGGGTTGGTTCAACTCAAAAGGTGATTGATTGATAAGACAAGTCTATGACAAAGCGTATGTAGCAAGCTAGGGCAAGACACATTGGCAAGTAATGATGTCGGCTAAAGTCAAAGCTTCGGCAACAGGATAACAAAGACATCGGCTAGGGAGAACGACACTTGACTAAGCTGTGCCACACCTTGGCCGGGGTGTGTCACACCTCGGTCTAGGCCATACCTGCCCAAGGACAAGGATCACTAAGTGCAAAACATCTCGGCAAAAAGCCCGAGGTGAAGGTGGGATCAACCAAAGGGTTTCAAAATTGCTCTAAGCACAAAGGTTCAAAGGTGCACTAAGCTCAAGATGACCTCGGCTACACGCCGAGCAAAGAACAAAAATCATGCAAGCAACACTTAAACAAAACAAGGCAAGGCAAAACTTTCAAAATAACTTAACAAGACAAAATCATGTATGAACATATGCAAGTATGACAAGAGTAAGGTGAGGGTCGCTACAATAATAATAATAATAATCACACAACTTTTCATTATGTGTAAGGATATTTGGGGATCTAGGGCTTCTAATGTGTTTGGGAAAACAAAGCAACGTGTCAATGCAAAGAAGGTATGCCGGAAGGCCGACACCGGAAGCCCTCCACCGCCACCGATGTGTCCGCTGATGGAGAAAAGGGAGGCCAAATTTGAAAATGTAAATCTAGAGAGAAAGAGGTGTTGAGTTTTCGATTTGGTTTGGAGAAGAAGAGTGTATGAAGGGTTCCCCGTTACTTACCTTCCGTTTGGCCAAAACGACATAAATCAGTGTCGTTTTGTTTAGCTCTTGAACTCCACAGACATGGCTCCCTTTTCACCATCGAATCTGTCATTGCCACGCATCTCCATTTGATAGATATGGTTAGAGGGTGCTGGACCGTAACGCACAGTAGTCATTGTTGTGTAGCTAAATGGGTCCATTTTGATAATTCGAACAGTTCACATTTTAGAATATATCAAGTAGAACATACCTGCAAAAAATCAAGTTAATCGGATATCGTTTACCCTTTCGTTCACTCACATTTGTATTCATTTTAATATTTTAAGGGGTGGTTTGAGATAATCTAAATAAGTATACTTTTTGACTTTTTGTGAAATATGGGTTGTGTTTGAAGTGATGTGGTAGAGAGGTGATATGACTTAAATAAGATGATGGCCCTGTTTGGTAGAGCTGTGGAAAAGTACTTATAGCTTATGCCTTAACAGCTTATAGCTTATAACTATGAACATAAGCTGATTTCTGACTTATAAATTAAGCTTCTCCTGCCCCACTCAAAGAATAAGCTGATTTCTGACTTACAAAAAGCTATAAGCTGCATTGTTAAGCTAAACCAAACACATCAAAATAGCTTAAATTAAGCTGAAAGCTGAAATAAGCTGAAAAAAAGCTGTACCAAACAGGGCCGATGTGACTTAAATAGGATAGTGACTTTTTGACTTTTTAAGGTTATGACAAACAAGGCCTAAATCACAATTGTTATTTAAACGATATCTGATTAATTTTATTTTTTGTAGGCATGTTCCATTTGATGTATTCTAAAATATAAACGGTTCAGATTATCAAAATGGACTCCCAATGGGCCAATTTAACTGCACAACAATGGCTTTTGTGCGGCAACCACCCTAAATCCGGACTATAAAGGACAGGAGAGAAGGCAAATTCCAAAAACCCCTATTGGTTTTTTGAAAATTATTTGAAGTTCTTAAAAATAATTTTTTATTTTTTATTTTTTTTCCTATTTTCAGTGATTTTTTTTTAATATTCTAATTAAAATTTTTTACTTTTTAGATCTACAAAGTATTTAAAAAATTCATTAAATACAAAAATTATAAAAAAAATAATTTCTTTGATTTGAAATTTTTAAAAACAATTTTTTGAGTTTTTAATCATTATTTTTTATTTTTAATTAATAATTTAATATTTTAATTATTATTTTTTAATTTTTTGACGTTATTGATAGAAGCTCTCTCCACCAACATGGGTTTGTAGTATGTGAATTCTCAAGCATTTAAATTAATTTTGTGGTGTTTAGTTGGTGTCTTTCCTTATAGTAATTATAGTTGTACATTATTGCCTTTCCTTTATTATATTGATGTATAGGAGCCACATTTTTTTTTTCTTCTAAATTTTTGTCTATAGTATTTTTTTTTATATTTTTTTTGAAAAGGAGCTCAGTGTAATAATATTAAAATTGTAGAACTACTTATATTTTTTTTTCAAACTTCATAGAAAATCAATGTAATTTACCCTAGTAATAATAACAACAATAACAAAAGATTTTCTTTGCACAAGAGAGCGCTGACACTCGTTAAATGCTTGTGAGGTAAAAGAAAAAATTCTTTTACTTTTCTAGATATTTTAGCTGGTCCCAAACTTACTCAAAGTACAAGTTAGGACTACTTGGACTAAGCTCCGCTTAACTCAAACTCAGTATAAGAGTGAGAGAGCACGATGCAAAACAAAATTAGATCATATAATAATGCACATAATGGATAAGAGGTTGGGAGTTCCACAAAGCAATAGGCGTCACAATCTCCTCTCTATTATGTGCTCCAATCCTTGTGCAAGTAGTAGACTCTATAAATACGTACAAAAACATCCATACAAAATCATATTGTCCCACTTTTACTTCAAAGCAAAATGACCATCTTTGTGCTTTTATTTTGAACTTACAATTAGTTAGATAAAATTATTGACAAAAAAATAAGAACCAAAGAGGGTTAACTAACTAGAGTGGGAAATGGGCAAACCACCTACTAACCATGGCAAGACATTCCTTCGGCCTATACTCTGGAGCTGTGTGACCCCCTCCCTGTTCAAATACAAAAAATATTTGGGCTTAAATCAATATACGTGGTTTGCGAGTGACTGTGCAGATCTGGAATTTATTCATATGAGTTCTCTATTTGAAAAAAAAAAAGAAAATAAGAAAATAATGGAGTCACGGGATTTCTTGCCTTCACAGTCGCAAATGTCAATATATATGAGTTTTTTGTAAACATCTCTCTGAATCTGCATAAAACAAGGAAATCGGGTTAAATTTATGTTAAGAGGGTTTGTTTTTTGCTTTAATGATAACTTCTAAATAACAAATATTGTAATGTTGTAAAAAGAGTTTAGAAGTTTAGGAACCAACCCGCCTACTTGACCATCAACGAACCATGGTTTCCAACCATCTATAACTGATAAGTTCAGTAAATTTATCCATTCTCGCGTCCCCACATATGGAATAACCATGTCGTGATCACCACTGCCAAAAGATAATTTTTTTGGGGGGGTCATGGTAACCTATATATAATGCAACTTTTATGTACTGTTAAAAAAAAATTACACAAAGTAAGAGAGTTGACAGTAAATTAAAGATACATTTTTATATGTGAAAGAAAAAAAGAAAAAAAACAGGATTGCTCACTTTCATTATCAATTATAAAAAAGATAGCCGATTGCATGAGACTCCTGCTAAAACAAGTTCCTTGAGAAGCTATTTCCATTCATTCTCAATTATGTGAAAAGTTAAATTAGTCCACACAATTGTAAAAAATAATACAAGCGACCCCTGAATTGGAACTTTAATTCAACCATTTTAAGCCTAATTTCAATTTTAATGTCCACTTACTATTTCTTTGTGATCTTATGATCTCTCTCTGTTTTTGAATTCAATATCAACATTGATATGCATTCAATCTGACAGCTTATTTTGTGTTTTAGGAAACATGTTTTGATGTTTTGATAGTTTATATGTCTTTCATAAGCAAACATGGTAATTACCTGTAAATTAGAGCTCGGCAATGTTTTGTGGTGAGATTTTGATGATAGATGACACTGCTGTAAACATTTTCAGTGTAATCTAAGCTCTTATTGCATCTAAGCCATTCTTTTTTGGTTCCCTGAAATCAACATGAAAATCACCACATGAAAATCAATTTCAAACATAGAAACATGGCAATTTCTTTACATTTAGCATACCTGTCTAATATGAAGAGCTTCTTGGACAGTTCTATCATTCGCCCAAATGTACGCGTACAAATAATTATAATTCTACAAAAACAAAAAGAATAAAAAGAGAAAAAAGAAGGGTTAATTACGTGTATACTTGCTTAATTTTGAAAAGTGTACAATGTGGAATAAATGCAAGTACATTCCTTGGGCTCAGCTTATAAACTGACTACTTTTTTCTGCTTCTTTTTGTATTTAGTGATTTTTTTCCAAAATCGAGACAATTTTTTTTTTTTTTACTTTTTAATTTACAGTAGATGATCTTAAAAAAATTAAAAAATAGATATTATTTTTTAAAGAAGTCCAGTAAAGACGAAAATAAACAAAATTCTATTCAAAAAGGCCTAAAAAATTAGTCTTCTTTTTGTCTTATTGGATGCTTGTCCAACATTTTTTTTCAATTTTTTAGTGTCGTCTAGTCTGAATGTTCTTAAAATGTTCAAAAAAAAAAAAAAAAAAAAAAAAAAAAAAAAAAAAAAAAAATACTAAAAACAAAAAAAAGCCTAAATAATAAATTGACTTATAAAACAGATGGAAAAAGGGGGAGAGATTACTCGGCACCACGGTCCAGGAAGTGGAGGTAGTGAAAGAAGGAGATCTTTGGGATCTTCTTTGCGAGCGTTTGGATTCCATTTCAATAGATTTGGTTTTGGGGACATCTCATCACAATTTGGTTCCAAAATTTGTGCGGGGTCTAAATTCTCAATGCACTACATATCAAATATTAAAAAATTGTTAATACCTCTAAATTGCTAATAAATTATGTGTATAAATAGTGACAGGAGCGATTGGCGATTATGCTCACCTCCTCTACCACTTGTAGATCAATTACACATAAGGTGTTGTTAGGATCCACATCTACATAATTCCCATGGCAATTCGCTTTTGTTGACTGAAAAAAAAGTCCATAATAATCAGTGTGTTTGGTTTGAGTTTTTTGAATTAAGTTTTTTGAAAATTTAGTTTTTTAGTTTTCGTATTTTTTTGTTTTTAGTGAATATTTTTAAAATTTTAAACATTTTTTTTACCTTTTTAGATGCACCTTACTTAGATGTATCTAAAAAGTAAAAAATTTGTAAAAAAATATTTTTAAAAATTAATAAATACATAAAAATACAAAAAATGTACTGAATTCTCGTATTTTTTTTTATATTTTTGGTATTTAGTGAATTTTTAAAAGGTTTTTTTCAATTTTTTTTTTTACTTTTTAGGTATATTTATGTTAGGTATGTTTAAAAATTAAAAAAATTGCTCAAAATATTAAAAAAATTCAGTAAAAACAAAAAAATACGGAAAATAAGAAAGTAAAATTTTTTGAAAAGTGTTTTTGAAAAATGGTAACCAAGCATTTAAAGTATTATAGTCTCATTTTTTGGGGGGTAGTAAAATAGAGATAAAACTCAATCATAGTGAAGTACAAATTGAATTCTATCCTATTTTCAAAATTGTAATGCATTATGAGGATCAACTTTTATGTGCTCATTGCAATTTACTTCAAGTTTGGTAAAAAATACATATGACATTAGAAAATTATTTTTTTTTATAAATTTTTTGACAATTTATCCCCTTAAAGATGCTAAAAAGGGCAACTAACCCCTACGACATCAATTGAAACATGTTGCTACTTGAAAAATGTTAAAAATTGCAATTTAGCCCTCTAGAATATCAATTGGAGCAACTTTTCCTTGAATTTAATTTAGTTATAGCAATGTCCCCATAAACTAATTGGTCTTTCAAGAATAAATTGTACTTTGGAACATCTCTTGAACATCATTTTAGGAAAATTTTCTAAAGAAATAAATAAAATCTTCTAGGGGATCAATTTCACTTTTGAACATCTTTTAGGAAGTAATTTAATTTGCTTAATTGATATTTTACGGGGCCAATCGCACTGCTAAACATTTTTCAGGGGGAAAATTGTCAAAAACTGTAAATTTTATACAATGTTGAAGCATAGGGTTTGTAAAAGCACAATCTTAGAATGAATTTTTATTTCTAGTGAAAGGTCATATAGCCAATAAAACTATTGTTAAGGAATAGTCTAAAAGAGGCAAATGTTTCTTATGAACTATGGTCTATACTCTATAGACTCTTATTAGTTACTTCCGATTGCATCAAAGGCAATAGAAAATGCTCTTGTTTGGTCGTGTTTCGTTTTACATTTTTTGATTTAATTTTCCGGAAAACACAAATCATATGCAATTACCTCATAGAGGTCATCTGATAAGAGTGCCATTCGATGAGCAAATACTACCCTTGAATTCAGGTAGTTTGCGTCCGTGAAAGGGTTGCCTAGCAAGTATCCCTGTGTCCAATTCAAAAAAAAATCTCACTTCTAGTCTATGATCTCAAAACGAAAATTCATGGATGAATTTGAAAAAAAAAAAAAAATCACAAATTCTTTGACGTAAGTTCTTAAGTCGGATTTTGTACTTGAATGTTCATTGGCGGGTCATGGGTGACTTCATTTCCTGCGCAAAACAATCAAAATCATCAAAACATATGCTTATCGAGCCATATCTCAACAATAAACTTGGTTTAATTGAAGCAACAGTTGAAACAATAAATCATTCTACTAAAAATTATGTTTTACGATTCAAAACTCATCTTCTTTTCACAAATAACCAGATTAACCATAAATTAGACATCAAAGAGGTCACCATGATCGTAAATACCATCATATATTTCTTGAACAATGATTGGAACAATTAGGCCAGAGTAGGAGTCGCCACCAATGTACAACGGATTGATGAGAAATTTAGGGTGATCCATAAGCCACTGCATTACATACAACTCATCATAAGATAAACAAACTTTGTTAGTTAGTTTGCCAATTGTCGGAAGAGCATTGGATGTTCATACTGTTACAAGAATAGGCAGAGAAATTGCATATTCGTAATTAGTTGATCACATACTGGAATGGTTTGAAACTTTGAATGGTGATTTAGGTGTTGTTTAGTTTATTAATTTTTTTGTTCCTTTTTGAAAGAGCACACAAAAAAATAAAATAAAATAAAATAAAATAAAAAATAAAAAAAATCATTGGAACCGGGGTTCTTGTTGGGCAACAAGGTTGTTGCACCTCAAAAAATTGCAGTTTTGAAGCTTTAAATTTTTTCGCAACTCAAGCTTAAAGCCTAAAACTGTGACATTTTGAGGCTCAACATCTCTTCTGACAAGCAAGGACCTCAAATCCAAGTTTGTTTGCCGAATTACTTCTTACAACTTCTTCAAAATAGTTTTATAAAAAAGTTCTTTTTGAATTTTTGAATATTGTTTTTCACTTTAAAATAAAAAATACACGAAAACACAACCAAACAAGATATGATTTTCCATTCATTCACAAATTCTCTCTCACCTTCCTCAAAAAACTGTAAGCCTGTGCAGCTGCTAACGTGTCGTTGGTGTTGTAAGCTTGGAATGTTTTTGCATAGGAGAATCCAGTACCAACAGGTGAATCTAAAAATATTATGTTGGCCACCTAGAAAATTCATAAGTACTATTCATCATTACACAATGAGACATAGAGGTTGAAATCAATTTGATTGCATTAAATTACAATTTACAGTCAAAGCATCAGGGTTAAATTTCACACCTTTGTCCATGAGTATGGGTTCACCTCCAATGTTGGCTTGTTCCCACTGGAATTTGGATAGTCAAAAGTAAATGGACCTACACAAACACCACAAAATTATCAAGTCATTTTGACAAGTTGAGAACTGTTTTGAAATACTGCTATTTCAATGCTAATTTCATTCGAGTTTGACTTCTCTTTTTAACAACCTTGACAAACCGAAGAAGTCTACAATTACAAAAATCAATTACAAAATCGAAAACAAAATGTATATTGATATGTGAAATTTTTTAAAAAGTGAACGTACTAATAAATGTTTGGGTTATTTATACCAAAATCACTTATTAGCGAATATCATTTTTTCCCCCTTTATCTATGAATCTGTACATTTTGACCCCCTTAACTTTCACCCTTGCAAACCCTCTAGACTGTCTCCAAAATGAATGTATTTGTACGATATTCATAGTTGAAGAGGTTAATATGTGTCTCCGAAATGAGTGTATTTGTAAGATTTTCATAATTGAAGAGATTAATATGTATAGATTCATAACTGACGGCATAAAGTGATTCCCTAATAATTGATAGGGTCTTAATGTAATTTACTCTAAATTTTTAAAAATCTTATTTATTTATGGAAAAATGTTGAGACCCCATTTTTTCTGGACCTAGCATATTGAGATTGGTCAACTTTTTGCTTTTTATTTTTTGTTTTTTTTTTTCTCCTATTACTCACTGACATGTGTCTGTGGAGGCTGTGGGCGTCAAGAAAAAAAAAAGAGTCTCTATCATTTCTGTTTATTTATATATTTTGCGTATTTGATTCATATGTATATGCCACACATGCAGTTGTCTCTTCTGAATTTTACTTGCCATTATACAAAAAAGAAGTGAAATCTGGCACCTAATGGTCAGCCTATGGCAGATAGAAATCTAATTTGCAACAACCACAAGGTCAAACTCAAACAGAGGAAATATTTTCAAAGAAATTACAAAACAAAACAAAACAAAAAAAAACAAAAAACAGAATTTGACATTGATAACAAATTAAACTATATCCTTTTAATCTTATCAATTTAAATAGATAGGATGGTAAGACTTGAACCTTAGACTTAATATTTAATGAAACAAACACTTCACAAAATATAATAGACAAATTATTATATTTTTACTTATTTGAATTGCATACCGCGCCAGTATCGTATATATAAATACTCCATAACGGCATATGCATCATCAGCTTCTCCACCACCATCAAAGCAAGTGAAATTGAAACTACGTACCTCAATTTACTTGCTAATGAACAAATTAAAGAAAAGCAAGAAGCACAGGGCTATTGGGCCATTTAATCCTGTATAATAGAAGCAGCAATCAATAATGCCGTGAATCTTATCTTTTGGTATTGTTTCAAACTCAGTAATGAACCGTATGTTTCTTTTGGACCACCATCTCTTTCACTGATTTTGATTTTGGGGGAGAGAATGAGATGAGTAATGGAGGTGGAAGAAAGAAATGTGAAAAGGAAAGGGGGGAGACTTTGTGGAGGGAGTGATCCCATGTGGTCAAGTCCTCTAGAAACAAATATTGAACCCAAATACAAAATAATAACAACAATAATAATAAATAAATAGGGGGAAAAAATACCAGTTTCCGTTAGTTGTATTTACCTGAAATGTACAGCGGGTTTAGATTGATAAAATTATAAAGGGTTTATTATCCTTTTTATCTCAAAATTATCGTCAAATTGTCTATTTAATCTTTAAATTATCAATTAAATATATTTAATTCTTAAAATATATAAATTAAAGTTTATTTAGTCCATAAATTGAATCTATTAAGTTCTTAAAATATTTAATTCAAACATATTTAGTCCCTAAAAGAATTACAAAAATAAAATATAAGCTCATACGTATTATAGATTAGTAAAAGACCCTCCCCAATTAAGATTTTTTTACAAAAAAATCTTTTAAATTTTTATTTTGTTTTTAAAAGATATTTTATTTTGTTGTGTGTTCCAATTAATATTATAGTCTAAGTTTTCAGTATTGTCAATAAATTACATGAATATTAGATATACTAGAAAAGTAAAATTGGATAATTTAACACTTCTCTACAAATAGTAATCGAACAAAATAATATATCAATTAAGTAATAAAAAAAACTTAGCGAAAAATCAAAAAACAATCAATTAAAATTATAAATAAAATTTGACATATAATACTAGATAAAGACAAGTACATATCTATAATAGAAGATAAGTAAGAAAATATATCTTTATCCTTATAAAGGAAATTCAATACTATATATTAATTGGCGCTCACTTTTTAGAGAGAGAATAAAAAAAATTAAGATTTTTTTGAAATAAAATTTTAATTAGACTGGTTCTTTTACTAATTTATAATATTTATGGACTTATAATTTATTTTTGTGATCCTTTAAGGGACCAAATAAGTTTGAATTAAATACATTAGGGATTTAACGGATTCAATCGATAGTTTAAAAACTAAATAGACTTAATTTATATATTTTAGGGAACTAGTAGACACAATCGTTCAGAGACTAAATAGACAATTTAGTGAGAGTTTAGGGGTATAAAGCGTAATAAACCTAATTATAAATGTAGGATTTAATTTGTTATCATGGTCAAATTTTGAATTTTTTTTGTAATTTTCTAAATGTAGGATATACTACATGGTCGAGCTTACGTGGTTTATACTTTCATTTATTATTTATCATGCGGTAAAAAGTAGAGTCGGAATTTGATGTAGGCAAACACTAAGCACCTTAGGTTGGACCACAAAATGATTTTTTGAGTCTTATTTTTAACACACGACAAACTGTAAGTGAAAGTGTACACTACGGAAAATTATTTAATTATTTCGGAATATTATGTGGTTATATTTCAAGCCAATCACTAATTACTAGAGCAATTCCAACCACACTTACTACTTTTCACTAGTTAAAGTATAAAAAAAGTGCACTCTTTATTTTACCTAATTATTTTAGCTATTGTGTTCTCCAATCACGCTCTTTATTTTAGCTAATCATTTAAACTAACTTAATTAATTTTTTTAAAAAAAAATACTAATTGTTGATATTTTACTAATATAAATTTGCAATAATAATAAATTTGCCCATACAAACATACAAAACCTGTAAAATGAGGAGAAAAAAATACAAAATACAAAATAAATTATTCCATAATTCATTAAATAGAATTGAAAAAAAATATAAAATTGCTACACACACATATATATATAATATAAAATTCCAAATTCAAGACATAAATATACAAAAATCTAAAATATATACATACATAATTGTTTGGAGAGCCTCTGGGCCTCTTCAATTGTAGCAATCAAAAAAATAGGATGGTAAAGTGGCTAGCCCAATAGCTAGTCCATTGGAGCTCAAAATTAGACTTACATTGGTTTCCATCAACAATCACAAATCTCAATGAAAATAATACATGTGTTCAACAACACTCATACACACAAATATATATATATATACATATATTCTACTGTTCCTCATCCACATCCTTCCCAACCTCCTGTTCAACTTCTTTCAATCTCGAAGCTTCAGCCTTCGCATTCAACATCGCAAGCATCTCATCAACAACCTCATCATGTTTCTTCTCCGCTTCCAATTGAGCCATCTCCACCACACTCCGAATCTCCCCCATCTGCTCCGAAACCCTAGCTTTCAAATCTCCAAAGAGCTTATTCAGATCTTGAGACAAAGAGCTTATTCCTTAGGTGCAAACAACGAAGCCATTGATTGAGGATGAACTTTTGCTATTTTGATCTTCTTATTGTTTCTATGGAGGCATTTGCTACCAGATCTGGTCACTCCGACCAGATCTCCTTTGAAACCCTAGCCATGGAGTCATCATCTATGTATATGCAATAGTTGTATCAAACGAAACTTGAAAGATTGAGATTGTGATTAGGGAAGATTTAATTGAGGGTATAACAGTCTGATAAAATATTTAAATAATAAATTTTGTCTTTTATATAAGACTTTATAATTATGAGGGGGTTTTAAAAGTATAATTTTTTTCTTAGTCTTTTTAACAATAAAAGGAAGATAATGGGGGTTTATAGCCAAATTTCCCATTAAGATTTTTTTACAGAAAAATCTTTTAAATTTTTATTTTGTTTTTAAATGATATTTTATTTTGTTGTGTGTTCCAATTAATATTATAGTCTAAGTTTTCAATATTGTCAATAAATTACATGAATATTAGATATACTGGAAAAGTAAAATTGGATAATTTAACACTTCTCTACAAATAGTAATCGAACAAAATAATATATCAATTAAGTAATAAAAAAAACTTAGCGAAAAACCAAAAAACAATCAATTAAAATTATAAATAAAATTTGACATATAATACTAGATAAAGACAAGTACATATCCATAGTAGAAGATAAGTAAGAAAATATTATCTTTATCCTTATAAAGAAAATTCAATACTATATATGAATTGGCGCTCACTTTTTAGAGAGAGAATAAAAAAAATTAAGATTTTTTTGAAATAAAATTTTAACTAGAGGGGTTCATTTACTAATTTATAATATTTATGGACTTATAACTTATTTTTGTAATCCTTTAAGGGACCAAATAAGCTTGAATTAAATACATTAGGGATTTAACGGATTCAATCGATAGTTTAAAAACTAAATAGACTTAATTTATATATTTTAGGGAACTAGTAGACACAATCGTTTAGAGACTAAATAGACAATTTAGTGAGAGTTTAGGGATATAAAGCGTAATAAACCTAATTGTAAATGTAGGATTTAATTTGTTATCATGGTCAAATTTTGAATATTTTTTTGTAATTTTCTAAATGTAGGATATACTAAATGGTCCGAGCTTACGTGGTTTATACTTTCATTTATTATTCATCATGTGGTAAAAAGTAGAGTCGGAATTTGATGTAGGCAAACACTAAGCACCTTAGGTTGGACCACAAAATGATTTTTTTGAGTCTTATTTTTAACACACGACAAACTGTAAGTGAAAGTGTACACTAAGGAAAATTATTTAATAATTTCGGAATATTATGTGGTCATATTTCAAGCCAATCACTAATCACTAGAGCAATTTCAACCACACTCACTACTTTTCGCCAGTTAAAGTATAAAAAAAATGCACTCTTTATTTTACCTAATTACTTTAGTTATTGCGTTCTCCAACCACGCTGTTTATTTTAGCTAATCATTTAAACTAACTTAATTAATTTTTAAAATAAAAAAATACTAATTGTTGATATTTTACTACTATAAATTTGCAATAATAATAAATTTACCCATACAAAAATACAAAACTTGTAAAATGAGGAGAAAAAAATACAAAATACAAAATAAATTATTCCATAATTCATTAAATAGAATTGAAAAAACATATAAAATTGCTACACATATATATATATATATATATAATATAAAATTCCAAATCCAAGACATAAATATACAAAAATCTAAAATATATACATACATAATTGTTTGGAGAGCCTCTGGAGCTCTTCAATTGTAGCAACCAAAAAAATAGGATGGTGAAGTGGCTAGTCCATTGGAGCTCAAAATTAGACTTACATTGGCTAAAATGCCTAACAAGCCTTGGAGATGTTCTTAGCTCCCATGTTATTCTTCATCCCCAACATAAATTGTGGGTCCCTACCCCTCTCTTTCAATCAAAACCTTATGAAATACCACACATTCATATTTCGAAAATACTGAATAATCACGCAGTACATCACACCACATCTGCTCAGCCACATTATTTGCACATTACCTAGAATGTTTTCCTACTCGAACAAAATGCGTATAACAAATCGAATAATTAAAACAATCACAAAGTTGTTATCTGTTCTCGAGAGTCAATTTCAAAGCCTCGACAACAGAGATGTACGTAATAATACCGTTAACCAGATGTCATCAAATACATTAAAAAGAAAAAAGAAAAAATAAAAAAAGACTGCTATATTGGACCTATAGTTGAATTTGGGTTAAAAATTAAAATGGAATGTAGAATGAGAAACTCACCTATCTCAAAAAGGAGACCAGATAAAGCAGAACAACCAGGGCCTCCAGTGAGCCAAAGCATGAGGGGGTCATCTTTTGGGCTCCTTTCTGACTCAATGAAGTAGTAAAATAGTTGCACTTCATCTGATTCTCCTACACCAACATAACTTGACATGCCCAAAAAAAAAGAAAAAAACAACAATTTTGGTTGTTACCATGCCCCATATTATCTTAAAATTCTTATATTTCGAGATTTGTATCGCACATTATGTGATTGAGAATGTATTGAAAATAGAGATTATGGAGTCATATAAAATTAGTGAAGTATTATAGCACACATTCCCTAAAAGGAAGCACACAAAATTTCATCCATAATGGTTCATAACGTCTGCCACTATAGGTTTTTATGTGTTATTTTTATATATATAATTAAATGGTTCATAACTTCTGTCACAAAATTTCATGCATAATGGTTCATAATTCTTATCGTTTATGAAAAAATCTCACAATAAGGGACACGATCTCATCTAAAACAGAATAATATGGGTAAGTGATTGCCCGAAACTCTCAACGATCAAGTCAAAAGATACAAAAACAACATTCAATTTCTAGATCAAGGTACACAAATTCAAGCTTATACTTGCTTTATATTGTGAGTTCAACGTGCGACATTGACTTAAGTATCGGAATGTCCCCTGGTTGAATGCTGCAAATGATAATAACTCAATATCTGTGGTTGTAAATCATTGGAGAACCGTAAGTGTTCACCAGTGTTAATCACGACCCCTATTTTGCCATTCATTCTACTTTGATAAATTTTTTCACACGCAATAAAACAAGTATTACAAAGTCTCATAACCAAATTTACAACCAACCATCACAAATTTGACAACCAAAAAGTCTTACCACATGATCCATAACTGAGACCACAGGGCTTCATAACAACAGCAGGTTTCGTTTGGCTGTGGCTTAAAATCTAACTTTTTTGTTCATTCGGAAAATTAATTTCCTGCCGAGCCTTTAGAAGAGTCAAAAAGATTAAGAACCAAACAATAACTAATTTTGTTAGCATTAATTTTTTTGTAGACTTATTTTAACTTATAATCTAACTTTTAACTAACTCTCAAGGGAAATTACAAAGCAAGTATGAGAAAGCAAACAACGAGAAAGCAAAAAGGGAGTCTATTTGAAAGGATGACTTACCCAGTCTCAAGTTTGAATGGGAGGTAACCAGGAAAACCAGGGAGGGTCTCGATGATGATGGACTGTGACAAACCAATGTAGGATAGAACAATGACTAGAATCAAACGCAACATTAACAACATTGGACTCATATTAATATAGTTTTGCTGGTAGAAAATTTTGATGCTCTGCTTAGAGTTTCTGAGATTGTTATAATCAGAGGTAGTGTGTGACACAATGCTTGTGCTGCCATCATAATTCTTAATCATGTGTTAAATTGAGGGTTAGCTTGCTCTCCACCTATCAGTCCACCACCTACTCTTTTATATATTAGCACATGTTTTTATTTATTTTTTCTTTTTAGGTTGTAAATACATCAGTACAATGGATTAGCTGTGCAAGTCTATTATGCTCTGTTTGGATCATTCATTTGGAAAGAGAAAGGAAAAATTGAGAGAAATGTAAAGAAAATATAAGCTAATTTTTTTTCCCTCTATTTTCTTTTTTTTCTTTTTTCTTTTTAAATTTCTACTAATCCATAATCTATAATTGTTGTTAGGGATGCAAATGAACCGAATTGTTCATGAATAGGTTCGACTCGACTCGTTTAGTAAACGAGTCGAGTTCAAACTCGAATATTAGACTCGTTTAATAAACGAACCGAACTCGAGTTCGAATAAGATTGGCTGGTCAAAAGTTCGGCTTGTTTATCTTTATTTAAATTATATAATAAATATATTATTTATATATATTAAAAAATATATATATAAATAATAGTATAAATACATTATTTATATGTTAAATAATATAAATAATATTTTTTATTTATGTATTATAAAAATCTTATCGAACTAAGCCGAGGCTAGTCGAACTTAAGTTTTATTAATATTAATAAGTTAGATCGAGCTTAAATTCAGTTAATTATCGAGGCGAGTTCGAACTCACTAAACGAGCTCAATAAACAAATAAACCGAATTCAAACTCATTAAAATTTAACTTGACTCGGTTCATTTACCATCCGAACTGTCTATCATATAATTTGAAGGCTCGTCGCCCGACTGATATCCGCCTTACTAATTGGACTTCTACTTGATTCAAGCCGGCAGCACGTAGAGCTTAACTAGCTCAAGTAAAGTTTAGGTTGGGCTGAGCTTAGTTGTTAAAGTCTAGCCCATGAGCTTGTGGGATTGTGAGAAACAGACCCAATGATTCGCTAGCTCTCTCCACAAAAACATAAGGGAAAAAAAGAATGTATTAAAAAAAATTCAAAAAGTAAGTACAAATCTCGGTCTGTTGGCTTGCGGCCCAACCTCCCTAGTCTATTTGAGCCAGGTCCATTGAATAGGGCTTGGGTTTAAGTTTTTTAGCCATATGCCAGTTTGAACAAGGACTGCTTAAGAAACCAGTTATTTTAATAATTTTTATTTTTTTATGAAAAGATGTATAAAAAAAATAGGAAGAGTAATACGAGAATTCATAATAATTTTTTAATTAAAATACCTAACTTGGCCCACTCGAAAGTCGCTTAAATCGAGGCATGGGTAAGCTTGCGTGAGAGAGAGTCAACACCCACGTCTCTCGCTCTCTCTTTCATCCTCTCTGCTCTCTCTGGTTTACGAGATTCAGTTCAAAGATCCCACCAAAATCTGAAGGTATGCAATTATTTCTCAAAACCTTTGCCTTTCCTCTAAAATCCTATTGTATCATATTTTGTATCTCATTCTTTGGATTATCTCAGAATTTTAAACGAGAGTTAATGAAGCTACTGACTTATTAGTTTTTGGTCAAACACTTTAGGGTTTTTAGATAAACTTGGTTAAACACGTAGAGGGCTTACATAATATTGTTTTGTAAAATTTGTCATATTGTTTTATTGGCATTAGTTGTTGCAGTGCTAATTGTATTGTTCGAATTTTGATTGTAGATAAGATGTTTGTAAAAATGATTTAGTTTGTTGCCAATTTAAATAACATCTACTTCTATTATCTATATACTATTATTACTCAGCAATGAATAAAATTGAATTTTAAATCTTCCATCAACTTAGTAGAATTTTAATTTATTGCTAAATTCTTAAATATAACTTTGAAATGATAAAAAAGTCCAGTCCACAACAACACTGAAAAATTAACCAGGTGGCACAATGTTCATCCCAACCTCTCTATGGTCCCTCCCTCCCTACCATTTAGCTTCACAAAACCCTATTAGAAATTGGGCGCCCATGTGGCATGACCCTTTGAACCTTTTGAGCCTTATCCATGTAAGTTTGAATTATGAATTCAAAACTTATATGGATAACCACTCATGATATCTATATCTATCATATCAACTGATATGGATAGATTGATATATATGGTTATATATCTGATTATATATTTATATATTACATTGATATCAGATATACGTTATGTGGTTTTTACCCATAACCTTTTTTTCCAGACTCTCTCTAACTCTCTCCCATATAAGAACGATCTAGCCTTTGCACTGTGATTTGTGTGGGTGGTACTCATATTGTAGTATCACTCCACTGTTGGTGTTCGTTGTTCGCATTATTAGAATCACGTGATTTATCCACGAGATTTTTTACTTCAGGTTCTAACACCTAAAGGTATGATTTGATATTTTTTACCTGCTGCGTTATACTTGTTTTTACATTGGTATCAGTGCAAATATGGGTATATTCGTGCTTATTTTTATGCTTTAAAATGTGTGTATATTTTTATATAAATATATATACACGATATATGCATGAAAATTAACAAAGGAGGAAGATGAAGTGTAGGGTTTCTGCACTTCCACTCTCATTAGGTTGAGAGTGTAATACACCTCAATTTTTATGTTCATTAAATGTCATTTTTGAGACCATAAATGTTTTTGTTGTGTAAAATGGACTCCGGCAGTACCGAAATTGGAACAGAAAACACCCTAGAAGGTGGCGCGTGGGCCGCAAGTGGGCACGTGCTTCCATGCAATGTCACGCACTGCCACGTGCCAGGCGCGCTTTGCCATGAGCTTTTGCGTCGTCTACGCGCGCGACTTGCGCCCTTTCACGCACGAGTTAGCCGCGCCGCTTCGAACCACGCCACGTGCGCTGCCACGCGCGAGCTGTACACTAAGCCGCTCGCTGAGCGGAGCTGAGCCGTTTTCCGCGCCGGCTTGGCTAGTTTGATGGCTAGGGGTAAAGGTCTGTTTGTTTTTTTTTTTAAATCCAGAATTGCGTTAAATGGTCATAAGTAATTCGTTATAGCTTTGTTTTAAGCATGGTTGGGACTGTTAGACTCAAAATTAAATTTTCTATATTCTGTAAAATTTTCAAAATTTTATGAGAATAAAAAATATTTTTTCTGAAATAATAATTCATTATTTTTGCTTTAAAATGCATCTGGTGTTGCATGATTAAGTTTCTGGGGCTGCATTTTTTATTGTAGACTACTGTTATGGTTTACTATTTACTAGTATGATTGTTGCATTTTATCAGATTCTGAAATATTTATTTATGATTTCATGTGTGTTTATTAATTATTTAAAATTCTAGAAAATACCAGAAAATTTCAGAAGTGATATACTTTTTGTTATGGCATAATCTGAATATTAAATACAGCATATTGTTATTTTTTGAGTAGAATTTCTAATATGTTGTGATTCGAATAGCATGATCATTTTTGTTATTTGTTTAAATTCCATTATTAATTGTAACATAGCATGAGTTGATTGTGAATCTACATTATGATACTATTGTATGGAATTAGAATATTTTATCATGCTTGTAGACATGCCATAGTCAGTGGGAGGTTATTCGGTTTAGAGAAATCTTTGTAGATTTACTCCCGAAAACTAATATTTTGTACATAAATTAAATTAAATTTTGGATAATTGTCACCTGTGGCGCAAGAGATGATTACGAGCATAGCAGATTTTCGTTCTTGCGACTTGCGTAATATTATCACTATTTAATTTAGATTTTTGTGGAAAAAATTTATTATGCTAATCAAATTTATCCCAATGCGAATTTCTCTCTAAATTGACTTAGCGTATGGAAGTTAGTTTGGTTGACCTAGACTTAGTAAAGATGTTCAAATGTGAACAATGTAATACTATTCTTTAGATGAGCAAAAGTCTTGAAGACTTTAGGTCAGACCTTAATTGGGTCAAGGTAAGGAAACATAACTCAAAGTCGCCGTAGTTTTGTTGCCTTGTTTGGCATAATAAAAACTAATGTGTGCGCTATGGTTAGTGGCGCGCTATGGTTAGTGGCACGCTACGTAGTTTTGGTTGGCGAGTTTTGGAGTTATGAAATTAGTAAGCCCTCAATAGATCTGTATATGATCTTGACTATTGAGCTGCGTGGATTGACTTTGTAATTTGACTTGTAATGATGTTGCATCATTGGATGAAGTAACATTCAAAAGTCACGTCATCCAAGAAATGCGAGCTTAAATGAATTAGTCATTAAGTGTAAGATGAGTAGCTAGTATGAGCAGTGTTTTACTTTCTATCAAACTATTGGGAGTGGATGGAGCAAAATTTCATACACTATAATAGTGTGCATTAAAGTATCACTTGAAGTTAAAAGATTAGCGTTTAGTAGCAGAAAAATCTATTAACACTAAGTAAAGAGATTAGGGCCAAGTGGTTGCAAAATCTATTAGCATTGCCAACTTGTCTAAATCTGGACACTTACTATTTCTACACTTGAGTGTGAGACATGAGGAGGTGCTTCTTTGTATGGTTCCTTAGCGAGGCCAATGTTTTTGAATAACGTTTACCACTAAGCGCAAACGTTGCAGCATAGTAATGAAAAGGTCAAGGCCGACAAGGTTGTTATGACTCTAAGAATTTGATGCATCGCTTGTGAGAGCATTGTGTTGAATAAGACTCTTTAGCCTAATTCGCGCTTAAGTTACTTTAGGAGCTGTCATAGGTTGATAGTTTATTCTTTCATTCTTGTTGATAGTAGAATTAATTGCAAGTAACTATGAAGCGAGAAATAAAAATGGCAAGAGGAGTATCGTCATCTTTCAACTAGATGCATTAAAGTGTATGGAGAATAAAATTGACTTGAAGGTGCAGGGGATTAGCACTTACTAGTTAAATTTGCGACTTAGGCACACTTGATATCTCCATGACATCCTTTTATGATCTAGTGAATATGAATTAGTTGTTGAGTCATTACCTAGTTGGGCCTAAACCTTTAAAACTTGTCTTCGAGAGCTCACACTTTAGGATGATTGGAATTAGTTTATGACGTTAGTCATGAACCGGTAGCTTATTATACTTAATCACATTAATGAGATGATGACAAGATGGTTTGAGTAGGCCCTCTCAGGCCCACTCGCTTGTGACATCTAGCTCTCATGTGAATGTATAACTTTGTTCACAATGGTTACGCACAAGTAAGTAGGAAAGCCGTAGAAGGTCATTTGTATTGGCGCATTTAGTCCACTATGATTTTTGTGAATGGATATGTGTAAGGGTATGATAGCTAGCCCCAAATCTCGACACATTTATAGATTACAATACGCATCTTAGTCAAGACTATTTGATCTCCCATAAGTCAAAAAGTTTTTGAATTTTTTTTTTTTTTTGACATTGCACATATGAGATTGAGATCAATTAGATAAGAGCTTTTGTGCTTTTAGTTTTGACCAAGGTGGCGAGTATCTATTTGAGTTATTTATTAGAAAGCTCTGTGAAGAGAAATGGATGCTTAGAAAATTG